GGGGAGGGCGGGGACAGAACCTGTGGTACGAGGGGCCCCGAGCCTGGAGCGTGGAGCTGCTCGTGGGGCGGCGAATCCGAGCGCTCGGGACCTGGCTGAGTCCAGAGCAAGAACTTAGAGGCGCTTCCCTTGGGCAGCAGCACGTCCCTCTGTGTCAGGGGCTCCTGCTCTCATGTCAGTGCTGTAGCACTCGGGATATTCTGTGTAACTCCCTGTGCTGACAGATTAAATGAAAGGGCATCGTGACCTCGAGGAAAGCAGGATTTCCAGGGCCCACCTGCGGGCACAGTCCAGAGAAGTTTGAAGCTGAGAGTGGTTCCTGAGGTGCCAGGGCCTGGTGCTGTGTCAAGGGAAGCCCATTGCAGCAGATTTTCTAACTGAGCAGAAGGGGCACAGTGCCCAGGACAGTGGCAGAGCTCACAGGGGCTGCCGGGGCTCCCCACCTTTGTTTAGGAAAGGCTTTGTTATGTATTTCTGCAGATAATTGGGGCATTTTAATTTCTACAGCTGAAGTTTCCAGTTCTTAGAAACACAAAATCTCGTGATTAGACAGGGGTAAAGACTGTGAAGCAGCTGCTTTATCTGGTGATGATGTTCAAACACAGTCAACACCACTTGGCTACTTGGATGTGACCAGGTTTTTGGTATAAAACACAAGGTAGTTGGTGCTGCCTGTGCTCCCTAGAGCAGAAGGCAAAAAGAAAAGCAGAATAAAAGGGTGACATTGCAGAAGCAGCACCTGGTGTGCTGGGGCTGCTCCTGGACATGAAATCAAACTCTTGCTTTTCTCTCCTCCTGGCTCTGGCTGCGCAGTGAAGTACTCTGGGTACCTGGAAGAGAGGGATGAGCCCTTCTGCACAAACTGCCACAGCAAGTTTCCCCGGCTGATGAAACTTGGGAGAGGTGGGTTTGAGCTGAGAAGTGTGTCCTGGACTCAGGGTTGTAAAGACCAGCCCGTTAAGACATGGCAGTTGAAACGCTGTTTGGTTTCTGGAAGTTCCTTGAAACCTTTAAAACTGGTTACTGGGGCCCAAAAGCCTCCTGCTTCACAGAGGTGATGGTCAGGCTGGAGCTGGTGACCCTCTGCCCCTCTTGGCTGGGGGAGGGAGCAGCAGTGCCTGTGCTGTTAGGGGCTGGGGGGGGTGTTTGCTGCCTGCCCTGAAGCAGCTGCTTCTCTTGGTGTTTTTCAATCCCCCGAGAGGAGATGTGGCTGTTGTCTGTGTGCTGGGTCCCAGCGCTGGCTGCCTCCACCATCCCTAACGGGGGCAGGTGACCGTTGTCGCTGCTGAGGTGGGAGCTGCCAGGGATTTTTTCCTCCAGGCTTTAGGAGAGATTGTTGTTCGTGTGTCCGAGGGGGTTTCCAGGCTTGTGCTTCTCGTCACCTTCCATTTCTTGTTGCGACAGACATTACGCTGGCAGGGCTGGAAATTGGCCTGCTGACCATGAAGAAGGGAGAGGTGGCAAGGTTCTTCTTCACGCCAGATTACGCCTACGGGCGGCAGGGCTGTCCTCCTCTCATCCCCCCAGACGCCACCGTCACCTTCGAAGTGGAGCTGCTGGATTTCATCGACTCGGGCGAATGTGACTCGTTCTTTGAGCTGACTGCTGTGAGTAGCTTTCATCCGGTTTGAGACCTAGATCTGGAGGCTGAACCTTTGTTCTCTTTCCTTCCAGTTGCAGTTGCTTGTGCATTACACACGTTGAGGTGAATTGCAGGTGCAGTTGTCCAGACCCTGGGCTGCTGGCTCTGCTCCGGTGCAAACACGCCCTGTGATGCTGCCCTGCACGCCTCGCTCTGTTTGCCCCCCCGTGCTGCTGCCTTTGTTTGCTCCCCCGGGCTGGAGTCCGTGTAATTACTGCCATTTCTTTTTAGTTTTACAAGAAACCTCGTGGTTTCACTAGAGGGCACCAGCTTCCAGGAATTTCTCTGAAG